GCTAGGCAAAATTTTTAAAGGAATGGGCTGGGAATTTAACAAGTTAAAGAAGTGGTTTGGTTTAATTTAGAAGATATCCAATTAAAATGATGAATTTTCATTAATCAATTAACGAGCCCTTTTTATTTAATAAAATAATTATTAAATTCGTAAAAAGTGATTCAAAAGTATAATTATAATTAAAATTAAACTACTTTAATAAAACATTTAAATGTATATTTCGATGGTTTTTTGAATAATCATAAGATATACTACTTATATACATAAATATGCAACTTATGTACATACTATCTAAAGTTATGATAAAAAGCATAAAATCCATGTATCATATATATATATATATATATATATATATATATTCACAAGATTTATAAAACCAATTATCTTAAATAGTTTGAAAAACTCATGAAGCTCGATAATTAATTTATACCGGTGTGGGTCAAAAATTGTGTGTCAACAACTGTCCCTCATTTTACTCGGGTTGAAGCAAGCAAGCCGAGGAAAATAAAATTGACCAAACCAATTTTGACCAACCCCATTCATTTTAAAGAGAGGATTCGACACAGGATTTATGAATTATGGCCGAACCCTTGTAAACGGGTTTCCTACATATCTCAGGCTACATGAGAATTCAGGCCACTTGTAGTTCGATAAGCTTGATTTACTGCACAATTTGAAAGAATCAAAAGCCACTTTGATACAGAGTTATGAAGGTATCGAAATGCTCGTGAATAGAATTCGAGAGCGAATGTTGGAATAAAGCCGAGTTTTCGACATTGAATCCGCTTACATATCCTTAGACTTTCGGAATCAGGTTGTGTGTAGTTTGACTCAACCGGTGGAAAAAGAAATCTATTATGCTAGGTAACCTTCGGCTTTGGACGAGTGACAAAGTAACAAGTATGAAAAGGAGGCTTGTGACTTCTTAGCCATGAATGTGGCGCGATTCACACCCATAATTAAGAACTTACACGGACATAATTTCCAAAGCACTTGGTGAGTTGTCACTCAGATTGGAAACTTGCTTCCGATAAAACAAAACTTCCGGATGCTAGACTGAAACTAACAGAACTAAAGAAAGACCTATATGACTCGAGAGGGGTGGCTCGATCGTGGTGGAAGTCGCTCCTGTGCTCGCGTCCTAGGAGTGTGATATTCCTATTTGGACTGTGTCCCATTTAGCTGCTAAGAAAAAGTTCCACGTCGCGCTGCATCCTTTTTGATGTCGTCCGCACCTGTGGTTTTTGGGGAATTCATCCTTTTCGGATGCTCTCGACAAAGACTGAGATAAAACTCGTCTGCTTAAAAATGTAATTAAGATGGGAGACAGTGTCTTTCACCATGTCGACACTTCATTGTTCTCCTCAAATCAACGCCGACTCAATCGGTCTGGCGTCCAACAAATAAATCTTACGTCTTTTGTTTTGCAATAAAATCTTCAATGTACTCTTCGTTTGATGCTAAAATAAATAAATAAATGTTGATGCGATATTGATGTCTCTTTCATCATTATCTTTGATGCTCTTCTTGATATTTATTTTTTCATGAAAATAAAAGATGCATGTTGGGCCGATGGATAAATATTGATCTTTCATTATCTGTGTATGTCCTCTCGCGGGGCATGAATACGTTCCCGCGATACGTAAATTCCCGCGAGATATGAATCTTCTCGCGATGCATAATTTTCAGCGAGGAATGAAATCTTCTCGTGATGCATGATTTTCAACGAGGTATGGATCCTTCTCGCGATGCACAAATTTCAGCGAGGTATAAATTCTTCTCGCAATGTGTAAATTTTGACGAGGCATGAAACCTTCTCGTCGTACATAATTGTTGAATCGCAATGCATGATTTTCCATGATGCATGACTTTCCGCGATGCTTGATTTTCGCTATGCATGAATTCCAGCGAGGTATAGATCCTTCTTGTGATGCACAAATTCCAGCTAGGTATAAATTCTTCTCGCGATGTGTAAATTTTGACGAGGCATGAAACCTTCTCGTCGTACATAATTTTTGAATCGCAATGCATGAATTTCCGCGATGCATGACTTTTTGTGATGCATGATTTTCGCTATACATGAATTCCAGCGAGGTATAGATACTTCTCGCGATGTCTAAATTTCAGCGAGGTATTAATTCTTCTCGCAATGTGTAAATTTTGACGAGGCATGAAACCATCTCGTCGTACATAATTGTTGAATCGCAATGCGTGATTTCCTCAATGCATGACTTTCCGCGATGCATGATTCCGCGATGCATGATTCTTTAGTGTATGAATTCCGCGATGCATGATTCTTCAGCAGTATATGACTTCTGCGATGCATGACTTCCGCGATGCATGATTTCGCGATGCATGATTTTTCAGCAGTATATGTCTTCTGCGATGCATGACTTCCGCGATGCATGATTCCGCGATGCATGATTCTTCAGTGTATAAATTCCGCGATGCATGATTCTTTAGTGTATTAATTCCCGCGATGCATGATTTTTCAGCAGTATATGTCTTCTGCGATGCATGACTTCCGCGATGCATGATTCCGCGATGCATGATTCTTCAGTGTATAAATTCCGCGATGCATGATTCTTTAGTGTATTAATTCCCGCGATGCATGAATATTTATATCGCCCTGTGGATAGTAACGGCAAGGCGATCTCCAAATAATATATCGACTTGATTGATAATGATAAAATAATAGTTGCCTAACTGTCTCTTCCGAGGTAATACATTGTCTTGATCGACAAAAATTATCTTGCTTTAATAACGCAATGCAAATAGCGTCCTCTGCAGAAATTGTGAAATCTTAGTTGAGATTCCTGTTTGATTCACCTTGGGATCTTGCCAGACACTTTTGCAAATTTCACATTGTTGAGAATGGTTTGAAATAAACAAACACATTCACAAGCATCTTGCCACAAACTATATGCATTGCCTCCTACTTTCAGTAAGATCACTGATTTTGGAGATAGCTCTCTCCACTTGGGGAGCTCTCCGTATTCGTCCGTCGGGATAATTCGGCCGACTTCAAAGCAAAACTATAAACCTGCATCCACAGAAAAATTGTCAATTTTAAAACATACTGATCTGTGTCGATTCCTTTAGTTGCTTGCTCCTGGTCTTGATATCTCTGGTTGATTTCCTGATTTCCCGACTCTTGATAGATAAGAAAAGACATCTTACGTCAAAAAAAATGAAACATAAGAGGGAAATTTTTTAAAAGAAATGAGAAATCTTTAAGAAATAGTATGTTGAAAAGTCGCTGCGAAGTCATGTCATATCAGGCCTTTCGAGCTCCTTTGAATCTGACACTTGCTGATGAGTTTCAGAGGGGCATTCCAGACTTGTAGGGAAGACCCATGATGAAATTTTGAGGCTATCCTCAAAATTTCTGTCCCAGTTTACTGTCCTGCTTATCTTTCCATGGTAACTGAACAGATCGCGGGATTTTTGAGATCTTCTCAAAAATTCTGTCCCAGTCGCAAATCTCGAAAGGTCTTTAGTTTGACTTGCTGAAGCGGAGACTTCTTCTGGAGAATTTTTGAGTCCCTCTCAAAAATTCTGTCCCAGTTTCTATTGTAAAGGGGAATAGAAATCTTACGAGATATATGACCGAACCCTTGTGGCGCCTACGTATCCCATTGAGGCAGGAATCAGGTCAAACGTAGTTCCCCTTAAAGGTTAACAAGAATAAAATTCACAAGGAAAACCGACCGAGGTCGAAAAAGGCCGCCTACGTATCTCATTCTTGAGAATTCAGGTCGAACGTAGTTCAAATCAAAAGAAATAATAAAGGGGGTAAATAGGGTGACCGAAGCCGACATAGGCCGCCTACGTATCTCGTTCTCGAGAATTCAGGTCAGACGTAGTTCTTTAAAAGAGGGATAATGATTCAACTTTAACAAATACAAGCAAACAAAATGATTACAAGTAAATGATAGAAAAATGCAAAGCGAAACTTCACGCGTAGTATCTCTTGACAGCATCTGAGTTGATAGGCTTGGGCCATACAACGCCATCCATCTCTGACAAGACTAAAGAACCTCCAGACAGTACTTTACGAACCATGTACGGACCTTGCCAGTTTGGTGCGAACTTTCCTTTGTACTCGTCTTGATGAGGAATAATACGCTTAAGGACCAACTGACCAACTTCAAAATTTTTGGCTCTTACTCTTTTGTGAAAAGCATGAGTCATTCTCTGTCTATACAACTGGCCATGGCAAACGGAGACCATTCTCTTCTCATCAATCAAAGCTAGTTGATCAATCCGTTTGCTAACCCACTCAGCGTTGCTTATTCAGCTTCTTGGATGATCCTCAATGACGGTATCTCGACTTCAACAGGTACGACTGCTTCTGTTCCATATACTAGCAAGTATGGAGTGGCCCCACTCGATGTTCTGACCATTGTTCGATAACCTAGTAGAGCATACGGTAACATTTCATGCCAACCCCGCTGTTTGTCAATCATTTTCCTCAAAATCTTTTTGATGTTCTTGTTGGCGGCTTCTACAGCTCCGTTCATTTGGGGGCGATAAGCAGTTGACTTTCGGTGAATAATCTTAAATTGTTCACATATCTCTTTCATCAGGTGACTGTTGAGATTTGCACCGTTATCAATAATGACGGATTCTGGAAGTCCAAATCTGCATATCAGATTGTTGCATACAAAATCGGCAACCACTTTCTTGGTTACCGACTTGTAAGAGGCTACTTCCACCCACTTGGTGAAATAATCAATGGCAACCAAAATAAATCTGTTTCCATTAGAAGCGGCTGGATCTATAGGACTGATGACATCCATTCCCCAAGCTACAAATGGCTAAGGTGAACTCATAGCGTTAAGTTCGTGAGGTGGCACCCGTATCAAATCACCATGCACTTGACATTTGTGGCATTTTTGCACGAATTTGCAATAGTCATTCTCCTTAGTCATCCAGAAATAACCAGCTCGAAGAACCTTTCTTGCTAAAGTAAGCCCATTCATATGTGTACCCCAAACTTAAGCATGAATCTGTTCAATAAGCCTCACAGCTTCAGAAGCGTCCACGCATCTTAAAAGACCCAAATCTGGAGTCCGCCTATACAGGACTTCTCCATTCAGAAAGAAATTGAGAGCCATACGACGTATCAATTTCATCTGACTAGATGTAGTGTCTTCTGGATATGCCCCAGACTCCAAGTATTTCTGTATGTCAAAATACCAAGGCAAACCATCTGGTTCGGACTCAACGTGTGAACAATAGACTGGGAGTTCCTTCAAATCTACATCTAGCAGATTGATGTAATCAATATCTGGATGTTTGATCATTGAAGCGATCGTGGCAAGAGCATCGGCTAATTCATTCTGTATTCTTTGAGTTTGTCTGAATTCGATCTTGCAAAACCTTTTACATAGATTTTTGCACATATTGAACGTAAGGTACAATCTTCGGGTTCTTCACAGCCCATTCTCCTTGAACCTGATGAATCAAAATGTCCGAATCTCAAATAACCAATAGCTTGTAAACATTCATGTCAACGGCCATTTTCAAATCCAGAATGCAAGCTTCGTACTCAACCATGGTTTTTGTGCAGTTGAATCGTAGCTTAGCCGCCATAGGATAGTGCTGACAAGATTCTGATACCAAGACTGCTCCAACACCTTTACCCTGGTGATTCACCGCTCCATCGAAGAATAATCTCCAACCTGGGTACGCTTCAAAAATATCTTCACCCACAAATGACACTTCTTCATCGTGAAAATATATCTTGAGAGGTTCATATTCTTCGTCAACGGGATTTTCCGCAAGATGGTCAGCAAAAGCTTGTGCCTTTATTGCTTTCTGAGTCACATATACAATATCGAACTCACTCAATAACATTTGCCATTTAGCTAACTTTTCGGTCGGCATTGCTTTCTGGAAAATGTACTTCAAAAGATCCATTCTGGAGATAAGATACGTTGTATATGATGACAAATAGTGTCTCAGCGTCTGGGCAAGCCACGTTAGAGCACAACATGTTCTCTTCAGCAAAGTGTAGTGAGATTCGTACGGAGTAAATTTCTTGCTTATGTAGTAGATAGCCCTTTCCTTCTTCCCTGTCTCGTTGTGTTGACCAAGTACACATCCAAAGGCACTATCTGAAACAGAAAAATACAGCAACAACGGACTCCCTTCTCGCGGAGGAACCAGTACTGGTGGGTTAGACAGATAGCTTTTGATAGCGTCGAAAGCGGTCTGGCACTCCTCAGTCCACTTAGTCGGGGCATCTTTCTTCAGCAACTTGAAAATGGGCTCACATACCACTGTCGATTGTGGTATAAACTGACTGATATAGTTTAATCTCCTTAAGAAACTCATCACTTCTTTTCTCGTCTTCGGCGGAGGTAGCTCTTGAATTGCCTTAATCTTAGAAGGGTATAGCTAAATACCTCTCCTGCTGACTATAAACCCCAACAACTTCCCAGCTGGGACTCCAAAATCGCATTTGGCGGGATTTAGCTTCAAGTTGTACCGACGCAAACGTTCAAAGAATTTTCTCAAGTGCGTCAGATGATCCGAACTCTCACGGGATTTGATTATGACATCGTCCACGTACACTTCAATTCCCTTGTGAATCATGTCATGAAAGATAGTCGTCATGGCTCTCATGTAAGTAGCACCGGCGTTCTTGAGGACGAACGACATTACCCTGTAGTGATATACCCCCAAGGTGTGATGAATGCCATTTTTTCTGCGTCTTCTTCATCCATCAAAATTTTGTGATAACCCGCCTAACAATCCACAAATGACTGCATCTCATGTTTGGCACAATTGTCAATCAGAATATGGATATTTGGCAACGGAAAATTATCCTTTGGACTAGCCTTGTTGAGATCTCTGTAGTCGACACAAATTCTGATTTTTCCGTCTTTCTTGGCAACCGGAACGACATTGGCAAACCAGGTTGGATATTGCGTTACTTCCACCAATCGAGATTCTATCTGCTTGGTGATTTCCTCCTTAATCTTCAAACTCAATTCAGGCTTGAATTTCCGAGACATTTATTTCACCGGTTCGAACCCTGGGTTGATAGAAAGCTTATGAGATACGACATCAGTACTCAACCCTTACATGTCAACGACTTCCCAAACGAACACATCACTGTATTCCGCAAGCAGATGAACCAGGTTCTCCTTCTCAGTTTCATTTAGGTGGGTGCTGATCTTAACCTCTTTGACACATTCCGAATCTCCCAAATTCACCGTTTCTGTCTCCTCCAGATTCGGTTTATGTTGATTCTCGAACTTTCAAAATTCTTCTGCTATGTAATCCGGTTCCCCACTTTCTTCGTCGTAGTCATCGACCTCTTCGTCATTTACCTCATTTTTCTCATTTAGCTCATGACAGAACATGACATTGGCAAGTTTATAACTTACGTTACTGAAATAATAAACAGACAAAATTAGGAAAGTAAAATATAACAAGCAATTTAATAAACAAAGTCAAAATAAGGAGGCTTTCATTTAAATCAAACAAAATGCGAACTTGGGTCATGGCACAGGGCCATGTCGCTTTTCAAACAGCACAACAAAATTCAAAATCAAGAACAATGCAGAAATGATGGGTCTCAGGCCTCTTCTGGACGACCATCGATTAACTATGCATAAAATAATTCCTTTCTACCCAAGAGTCAGGGACATCAGGATTGGCGTGGAAGTCCAATTCTATAGCATCTCCCCTGGTTCCGCATCGCGAATGCTAGCTGGGTTGACCTCCTCCTCGATAACGGCGTTAATATCCTTGAATAGGTCACAGATCCCTTCCCCATCGTCTTCAGGCTCGGTATGCTCCCGGACTGGAAAGGATTGATAGAGATGCGGGATCATCTTAGTCAACCCTTGATCATTTTTCCTCTTTATCTTCACATCATCATTTGTGGGATGTACCCCAAACCATACTTTGATCCTTGAGCAAGGACCGGAACTTGCTCGATGATCCCTTGGGCATTCCTTCCAAGTCCGAAACCTGGTTCGAATCCGCTCTGTAGCATTACAGTGGCGATCATTCTGTACACGGCCAGCATGGGAGTCTGCGGGACCAAGCCCTCATCGGTAGCATTTACCAACTCCACCGTGTAGAAATCCGAAGTTTGCAGCGTCTCGTCCAAGACCGGCACCTGCTTTCCTGAGTGGCATTTTTCACCATGAATAACCAGTTCTTCATTTCTCCACACAAGTTTCATCATTTGGTGGAGAGTGGAGGGGACGGCTCCAGTCATGTGAATGAATGCCCTTCCTAAAAGAAGGTTATAGCTGGTGTCGATATCCAACACGTGGAACTTAGCCTCGAATTCTGCAGGGCCCATTTGGATTGTCAAGTTCACCGCTCCTAACGTCTCTCTCTGCACACCATCGAATGCTCTCACATTGACCTGGTTTTGCTCCAACTTTCCAAGGTCAAACCTCAGCTCCTTGAGTGTGGACAAGGGGAATATGTTCAGGCCAGATCCATCGTCTACCAAAATGCGATTGACGATCTTTCCGCGGCATACACAGTGATGTGTAGAGGTTTGTTTTGGGCCCTCCCTTCGGTCGGCAATTCATCATTGCAGAAACTGATGCGGTGTTCCCGAATGACTTGGTGAATCATAGCAGCTACATTGTCGCTGCTCATATCTAAGGGCACATATGTGTCATCCAGGGCTTTCATCAAAGCCTGTCTGTGGGACCAGGAGCTCATCAGCAGGGCCCACACAGAAATCTGGGCTGGAGTCTTCTCCAAGTGTTTTACAATGGAGTAATCTTTGGGCTTCATTCTCCTCCAAAACTCCTCAGCTTCTGCTTCGCTGATCGGTCTCTTGGCATGATCTTTCTTTTGTCCTCCGAGAGCAAGATCGTCAGGAGTGTAACATCTGTCAGATCTAGTCATGCCTTGAGCCACGACCGTTTCTATAACAAACTTGGGCTTGGCGAGAGTCTTTGTGGGCACCAAGGCAACAGCCTTTGCAGGTGTCAGAATGACAAGCTCTCCCTTTTCCCTGACGCTCAAAGAAGCGACAGCCTTTTCCAAGTCTTCCTGAATAACAGGAGTAATTCTCTTGGCTTCACGCTCATCTTCGTCAGTTTCTATCATGTTGATGTTCCCACCCCCATGATTTTGCAACTGGTTCGTGCTGACGTTTGGTGCCGCAGGCTTAAGGGAGACCACTTCATGGTCAATCAAGGCCTGGATCTTGTGCTTGAGATTGATACTGTCTTCTGTATCATGTCCAACACTGTTGGAATGATAAGCACATCTCTGCTCCGGTCTGTAGAATCTGGAGTTGACATCCACGGGCTTGGGCCCCACAGGGTGGATGTATCCGGCCGCGGATAATCTTTCGAACAATTTAGTTCTGCTTTCAGCCAACACGGTGAAGCTTCTGGAGGGCTTCTTCTAAAAATTGGGGCGAGGGGGATCATACGCGCCCTTCTGAGGGGGAGGGACTTGTTGATAACTGCGGGCATTTGGGCGTGGATCTTGGGTTCTGGGGTAGGGATTTGTTCGGTAGTTTGGCATTGGATCTTGGTAATTTGGGAGGAGGCTTTGATATGCTGGAGTTTGTATTTGATATGCGGGGGAAGGTGCTCGATAGCTTGGTTGTACATTAGCGCAGCTGAGAGCGACATTCTGGTAAGAGGGATGGACTTGATAAGCTTGGGGGTAATTTGGATATACTGAGGGAAAATTTTGGGGCGGATTGTGATACGACAAAATATGGGCATCTGGATAAGTGGGGGCGGCATTGTAGTGGCCGGAATGATTTGATTGTGGACGGTAGGCTTGATGAGGCTTTGATGGAGGGTTGGAGCAGCCTTGGGGACGTGGTAAGTTTCTGGGGGCCTTTCTTCCCCTGTGTGAGATAGCGTTAACCTCATCTCTTTTCTTCCTTACCAGTCCGGAAGACCCAGGCGATGTAGAGACTCGGGCTATCTTTCCTGACTTCAAGCCATCTTCGATAGTCTCACCTACTTTGACTATCTCGGTGAACTTTGCACCGATTAATAAGATGACTCTGTCATAATACTCGGGCTCCTGCACCCGCACGAACACCTCTACGATCTCTTTCTTGGTCATCGGAGGCCTCACCCTCGTTGCCTCTTTCCTCCACCTGTACGCGAACTCTCGATAGCTTTCTGTGGGCTTCTGTTTCATCTTCTCCAAGGAGTACCGATTAAGGACTATCTCGACGTTGTATGCGAATCTGTCGATGAAATCCTTAGCCAGTGCGCTCCAACAAGGCCATTGTCGAGTCTCATGTGACGTGAACCACTCCAGGGCCTCACCGCACAGGCTTCGGCTGAACAACCTCATCAGCAACGCTTCATCTTTGCCAACTCCCACGGGTTGGTCACAGTACGCTCTTAGGTGTGCCATGGGGTTTCCCACCCCTCCGAAGGTATAA